TGGCCGCCAGCGATAAGAACCCTCGGGAAGAATTCACCGCTCCTTTTAATACAGTAATTATTTTTCTGCCTTCTGCGGGTGGGGGCGGCTCCTGCCCAGAATGCTGGTATCCCTCCCTTCAGGAAGATGCCCAGGGATGGCAAGTTTGCAGGATAACTTCCTAGGCGAACCCTAGGCCAGGAAGAGCACTGGCAAAGGAGGAAGACTGGTCTGAACAAGGCTAATTTCATTGCCTAAGACCAGAAAGGAGAGGAAGGACCTGAATTTCTGTATTAATCTCTGGAGTCTAAAATGAGAATCTCTTGCCTTCTCTATCACCGAATTCCCCTGGACAGTAAGAAAAGTAATAGCTATCAATTAATCCTATTTTATGTCCGTGGCTTTGTACTCCTCTTCTGTGAGGTAAACATATATTATCCCTATTTTAAGAATGGGAAAGTGACGGGTCTGCATCCTCCCATCCCTACCTGCTCTGATTCTAGAGGGGACCCAATATTCCAGGGAGCCCAGATCGCTCCCATAGCTTCCCACCGCCATGCCAATTCCCAGCCTCTGGCATTAGGGAGGACTAAGTGAGAAATTGCTAACGCTGAGCGTCGGCATCAGAGACAAACAACCTCTTAAAAGTAAAGGCCTGGGATGAGAGGCAACAGGAAGATAGGACTTGTGTCGGACGACCTCTGATTTGGGAAATTTGGGGCCTAGATCCATCTTCTGGGTCAACATGGAGAGAGCTGGCGCTGGGGTCAGGTCGAGGCCTCTGGAGGGGCAAGGACACCTCGGGTGACTTTCCAGGCTTGCCCGACGCGGGAGTGCTCGGGCCTGAGAGAGGAAATCGGGCCGTTTTGGTAGGATCCGGGCGGAGAGAACTCGAGCTCCAGGCAGCACCTTCCCAGGGCGCCCCGTGGGGGCCGTGGCCAGGGCCGCGGTGACGTCAGGTCCCCGGCCGGGCGCCCGCCCGCCTCAGCTTCCCTCTGCCCGCGCCTCCGCTCCCGGCGCGGGGCGCGGCGCGCTCCCTAGGGCGGGCGGGCGCGCTCCCAGCCCCGCGCCGCGCCCCGCACCGAGGCCCAGCGAGAGAGGCAAACGATAGATCAAAGCGCCGAAATCTTTACTAACAGTGCACACTTGATTCTGTACATGCAGGCAGACGAGGGTAATGAAACGAATGAGTCCTTGGAGCTTTTAAATCACCTGACACTTCTTTGCAAAGTAGAGCAAGCATCTCAAGTCCAAAAGCCCAGAAGCAGCAAATTTCTTTGCGTTCTGAAATGAGAGGACCTTCTATTTGCTTTTGAAGAGAAACCGAGTGCACCGCTCAAGAAATCAGAAATATCACCATTATACCAGAATATAAAATAAAATCCGTCTAGGTCCGCATCGCATCCAGAAAGAGAGCTCTCTGCAGTGGGAAATCTTGGCCTTGCCTTAGTAACCCAGCCTCCCAAAGAGAAGTCTCTTAGTCAAAATAAGAAAGTCAAGTCCATTATTTCCTAAAGGCCACGGAAGCAAAACATAAAAACCGAAAACACGAATTGTAAAACTGGACGGTATCGTGAGAAGGCAGAGAGGTTACAAGTCTCACCGGGTGATATCAGAGGTCAGGTTTTCAGGAAAGTTTTTAATGGAAGGCAACTATGAAAGACACCAAACCAATTCTCTGGTTTGGGCAATTTCCCTATCTTTGGAAAGCTCCTTCCACAGCTGTTTACTCTAGAACTCCGGAGGCCGTGCTCCTTTGGACTTTATCCATCTTTTCTCAGTAAAGGTCAAAAGTTTCTCACCCTTCTCCTGTCTTTAAGAGATCCACCTCATAGACGAGGTCCCTGATGAAATCTACCCAGCCATCTTCCAACTTTGGTCAAAAAAAAAAGAAAGCAAAGAAATCAGCTCCCATCCCCAACCTCACTTATGGCTGTCCTGAAAAGCAGCCTTTGCTCTGAAACCAAGGCAAGAGCAGCATAAAAAACAGAGTGAGATGCAAATTATTTTAAGGCAATAATGGGGTGGGGGGTGGTGTTGGAGAAGGTTAACTCCAGTCTTTGCTAAAGCTCACAGCAAAGGAAACTTCTTCCACAAAGCAAAATATGAGGACCAGTTTTGCAAAATTCTCCAAGAGCAAAAAATAAAAGGAGGGGAATATAAAAAGGTCTTTTAATTACAATAAATAAATAAGCAGTGCCAACGAGCAGGCGATCAAACCATAGTCAAACTTCAATCTCAGAGCAGTTAGCTATAAACTGTTAGCAGTTGAAAAGTAAACCTTGTGCACACAAAGGCACTGTTTAATTTTCTTCTTGTAAAGGTTCTAAATGAAGACCCCATCACTATGCAGTTAAGCGGTATTTCTTGTCCCCCTGAGGCGCTGATCGGTTCTTTTTAATGTGAGAAAACTGGCAGCTCAAAACCCGTCAATGGAGCTCCCACAACAAAAGTTCTGAAAAGCTGAATGAATTGGGTTTGTAATTACTGCATCGCATCCCCCCACTCCTCGCAGATTATCTCTTATTCATTCACCTTATATTATTGTCTAGGAATCTTTCTCTCAAAATCATTCCCTTACCATTTACCTAGGGCCACAGGGGAACTTATGACACGGCAGAAATGGAACACTCACCCCCCACCACTACACCTGGAAGTGTTCAGACCAATAGGTAGGGAGGGGAGGAGAGCCGACCTTGTACCCCAATTTACTCTGAGACTACTAGAACTCAGAGTACTTAGGCTACAGAGCCTTCCATTTTAAAAACCCAAATTTTATTGGCAAACAGAAATGTGTACCCTTTCTAAATTCAGGGCCTGTCTGAGTCTCTGAAATCCTGTGACATCCGCCCTTAGAAAAGGCAAAGGTTATAAACAAATCCCCCCCCCCCCCACCCCAAATTGCAAGGCCCTAAAAGACCTTGGCAGACATGGTGTAGAAATTAAGATAACTTATTATGTTCTTGTTTTTTTCTTTTAAACCAAAAACAGTAAATGAAATAGAAAAAGAGACTATAATTCCTCACCCCCCCCCCCCACCCCCAGCCCAGGAAAAGGTTTTATAAGAAAGTCAGCCAGGGCTCTGTGTGTATTTCAATCCAAGGCATTGCTGATGGAGAAGATTCTCCTGAGATTTCCTACTATAAGAATGTGTCGGTTCTAGAAACAAGTACAGCTATTACAACCAAATCTACTAGAAGACTAAATAATTAATTGAAGCGTTGCTCTTTGACCCTTGAAAAGTCCAGTAGGGACACGTTTATAGTAATAATACCTCCGAATGAGCCCTTGTCAAATATTCATTTAGTGGTTAATGTGAGCCATTTTCCCCTGGGACCGTCTGTAATACCAGCTTCCCAGCATTGGCAAGAAACCTTGCTAATCTACTACAGCTCAGCAAAATATTTTAACGCTCTTTATTTAAAGTATGAGGGGAGTGCGGGGAGAGAAAAAATTGCAGAGGGAACAAACTATAATCTCATCCTTCTGCAGATTTCTATTCTGTGTATAAGGTTAACAAAACATTAAATTCACCCCCCTTTGCCTGGAAATTGAATAGTTTCAGTGAGCAGAATAAGATCCCCGGGAAGGAACTGAACACTCTACAACTAACTTCAGCATTGGGAGATAACCATTGCTGAGCAAGTTTATGGGTTTACCCCCTTCTTGGAAATCACATTATAATTAAAATATGATATGTTCAGTATTAATTTAGTCATGAAACTACACAGCTTGAGGAAACATTTAACCCGATCAAATGAATGATGAAATACGTATCATTTTCCTCAAACGCAGTTTATCAAAATAATTTATATTTGCAAACAAAGTATTTTGGCTTTCATTTGGTTAGGAGATATGGAGGGATGGGAGTTCAACTTTCCAAAATATTGCTCTCTTCCCTCTTGCAAAATATTTGAACCTGAGCATTTTGCCAAAAAGTTGTTGCTTTTTTAGTCTGATCCTGTGAGCTTTTTTTTTTTTAAAGAAAGGTTAGTGCAGTGCAATTACTCTAAACCCCAATACATATTTCTTATATATCTCTATTTTTCAAATATATACACTCCATATAGTTGATTGCCTCAAATTCCGGGAATATCCTCCCTGCCCCCCAGCAAGATCATTTGGATCTTTATTCAAAGTTTCTTTTATTCGTATGTGTGAGCAAGAACTGGCGAATGTGCTCATTACCACGTGAATAATCCGTATATGCATTACAATGGCTGGCCAGGCCGGGGGAAATTCTTTTAGAGTCTCTGCATTAATTAAGGGGGGAAATGCCTCGCTTAGAATTGGGAACTGGCATAATAAATGTCCTTTCCCAGTACAATATTACCCTAAAAATGAGGATAAAAAAGGAATAAATAAAAACCAATACACACCTAAAATAAAGCAATCCACGTGAAATAAAAATACAGAAAATATAAGGCTATCCCCAGCTGAGCCCAGAACTAACATTAGCCACACCACGAGAAAGAAATACTTTCTTGGACAACGAGAAGATGCAAACCAACGGGATGAGCTAACTTAGTGGCTGCAGCTGGTACTTTACTGAAGGGCGGAAGGCGCTGCCGGATTCCAACTTCTCCAAAGTTGTAGCAAGTTGACACAACAAGCCCTTGAAATTGTGGGAAGCAAACCCACGCCGTTAAGCATGCCTGACCCTTGGTTCCTGGTCCCCTTCGGTGGGGGAAGATGAGCGAGGTAAGTAGTAAATAAGGAAGAAAAGTCCCGGAGTCGGTCTTACAGATTCTCCGGCTGCGCCAAAGCGCCGGTCAGTTGTGATGCAGAACCATCGCTAATTCAAAGACCCTGGCGATTCCCCAACTTTCCCGCTCCCACTGAGGACAACTATAGTCTTTCTTTACCTTTCCTAGGGCAAAAGAAAACAGCAAATCCAATCTTGTTTCTCCACCCCTTCCCCCCTCCCACGACTTCTCTACTACTGTAGTAAAACACGATTAACAGATCAAAAGCATAATCATCTCCAAATGTGATTAGACCGGACAAAGTAAAATATCTACCTCTGAGTTGACTGTTTTCTTCTTTAATATGGCTGTTGCCTGGCTTCTCTTTTGCTTGTTATCAGTTGCAGAGATTATCCGATTTGGGGCTACAGGCTTGGACCCGCGCTGCCAATTTAAGAAATGGAATTCGTGGAGGGAGAGAGAGGAAAAAAGAAAATAAATAATAATAAAAAAAATAGCCGTGATAAGTCGGGGAGTTTTGCAAGACGCTCTTTGCTTTCCCTCGCCCCTAAACAGGAAAATGTAGAGGAGAAAGTTTATAAAGTCAAGGAACAAAGAAAGCAAACCACTTGTTTCCTCTCAGACAATAGCAGGGCCAGAGTAATCCAAACACCCACCCAGCAGATGAGCACTTTGCATGTCTAGTTTGCAATTATTCCGATACAAGAAGCATCATTTTCCCCTATAACCACGTTTCCAAGGGCCCATTGTGCTGTGAAGAAAACGAAAACAAAACCAGCCAACCTGGTTCTGATTTGGCTCAATACCCCATCTGCTAAGCTACATGAAAATTTTCAGAATTGACTCCTTTCTGGCAACAAGTGGCATAAATCAGTTTAAGTCCTCATCATGCTTATTCATGCTGCTTAGAAAAGGAGGGGCGGATTTACAATATCTGTCTCTAGTTTCTATTTTAGAAATGACATAAGCATTTCAATTTTTCCAAGAGCAGTTATTCAATTAATCATCCAGCCATTTATTTGTTCCAGTTAACATTAGCACATGCTGCTGGACTAAAATACCAAGTTTTAGGGGTTTTTTTGCTTTCCTGAATGAGCACAGTATATTCCCCGATGAGTTATGTATCCAAATAAATGAAAGACTCAAGCATAATTTCAGTGTCCATATTTCAAAAATTTATTTATCTCAAACTGTGCATAATGGAGTAAAAACTTAACTTGAAAATGTACCTGTTATAAGGATGGTATTAGTTCAAATATATACACGGATTCTCGGCAGACTGATTCAAATAATACAGAGCCGAATCTTTAAAATACAACTACGGAAAATAAAAGGGGGAAAACCTTAAAATATCACAATAAATTTACAGAAATATTACAAACCATAAGAAAATATTTCGAACACAGTAATTTCATGGTTTTTTTTTTATCTGAACAAAATGGAAAGTTGGGAAACAAAAGCTATTATAAATTACCAACGGTGTCAACCTGCATGGCCATTTTTGCTTTAACAGTAAGTTAAAAAAATTTAGTACAATCTAAAACTTTTGCCCCTTTAAAGAAGACCGCGGAGATGGTTTTGCCAGTACTTATTCTAATTTTTTCCTTTTGTACATTTTTTAAACAATTAAAATGTCCAAATCTGAATAATTTTCTTCTTTCCACTTTTGCAACTGTCCTAAATTTCAGCTGCAGAATCAAAATTCAGCAAGAAGCCTCTCCTTGAAAAATATTGGCAAATTCTCAGCTTATAAACAATGGACATTTTGATTGCCATGTTTATCTCGATAAATACTGTACAAAAGTTGCTTGCAAATATTAAAACATTTTTTTCGTCGCTTGGAGACTAGCTCTAAATATTATTGGTAAAGACTTTTGCAAACTTTCTGCAAAGCTCCTACCGTATCACTAGAACTTTTAAAAAGTTTTGCGTAGTTTTCTTTCCTCCAGATCTATACAAGGTCCATTCCCTCGCCCTCCCCACCCCAACCCCCCCTGATTTTCTCTGTACAAAAATAGTCCCGCAAAAAGAAGTCCAGGATCTCTCATAAAAGTTTTCTTGTCGGCATCGCGGTTTTTGCGTGAGTGTGGACGGGATTGGTGTTCTCTTTTGCAGCTGTCATTTGCTGTGGGTGATGACTTTTCTTTTCTTTTCTTTTTGAGCGTACCGGGTTTCTCTCCATGCTGTTTCTTACTCTCCTCCCATTTTCTGTGAGAATTTCTCCCCCACCTCCAGGTCACTGTCCGGCCCTCACATGTGCGAGAGGGGCAGTGTGCCGTTAATGGCCGTGCCGGGCACCGGGCCGCTCTGGTAGTGCTGGGACATGTGAAGTCTGCTGGGGGCGGCGGGTTCCGGCACCTCGGCGCCGGGGAGGTACATGCTGATCATGTCCCGGAGGTCCCCGGCCTGGCAGGGCGCCCTGGAGTGGGAGGAAGAGGTAACCACGGGGGGGCTGGAGCTGGCCTCGGACTTGACCACCGAACCCATGGAGCCAAGCGCCATGCCAGGGGTGCCCTGCTGCGAGTAGGACATGCTGTAGGTGGGCGAGCCGTTCATGTAGGTCTGCGAGCTGGTCATGGAGTTGTACTGCAGGGCGCTCACGTCGTAGCGGTGCATGGGCTGCATCTGCGCGGCGCCGTGCGCGTTGAGGCCCGGGTGCTGCGGGTAGCCCAGCTGGTCCTGCATCATGCTGTAGCTGCCGTTGCTCCAGCCGTTCATGTGCGCGTAGCTGTCCATGCGCTGGTTCACGCCCGCGCCGAGGCCGGCGCCCACCCCGACCCCGCTCGCCATGCTGTTGCCGCCCGGGGCCAGCAGCCCGCCAGGCAGCGTGTACTTATCCTTCTTCATGAGCGTCTTGGTTTTCCGCCGAGGACGGTATTTATAATCCGGGTGCTCCTTCATGTGCAGCGCTCGCAGCCGCTTGGCCTCGTCGATGAACGGCCGCTTCTCCGTCTCCGACAAAAGTTTCCACTCGGCGCCCAGGCGCTTGCTGATCTCCGAGTTGTGCATCTTGGGGTTCTCCTGGGCCATCTTGCGCCGCTGCCCGCGGGACCACACCATGAAAGCGTTCATGGGCCGCTTGACGCGGTCCGGGCTGTTCTTCTGGTTGCCGCCCGCCGCCGCCGCGGTGGAGTTGCCGCCGCCGCCGCCGCCGCCGCCCCCCGAAGTTTGCTGCGGGCCCGGCGGCTTCAGCTCCGTCTCCATCATGTTGTACATGCGGGCGCTGTGCGCGGGCCCGGCCCGCCGGCGGCCGCCGACCCTCGGCCCGGCCGGGACTTTGGGGGGCCCGCGGGCGGGGGGAGAGGAGGAGGGGAGGCGGGCGGGGGTGTCGGGAGCGCAGGGCTCCGCGAGGAAAATCAGACGAAGAATAATTTGGGGGAATAAAAGAGAGAGAGAGGCAAACTGGAATCAGGATCAAAAACAGCGCTTCCCTCCTCTTCTGGCCGATCCTGCCGCCGCCGATGATTGTTATTATTATTTTTTGGAAAGGCTTAAGCCCGGGGCTCAAACTTCTCTCCCTTTCTTTCTCTCTCCTCTTCTTTCTCTCAGTCCTAGTCTTAAAGAGGCAGCAAACTACTTTCCCCCTTTTGCAAACACTCTCTTCTCTGCCTTGACAACTCCTGATACTTTTTTGAACAAGTTAATAGACAACCATCCATGTGACGGGGGCTGTCAGGGAATAAATGGGTTTCCGGCGACCAATCAGCGCGCGGCGGCTCCTCCACTCGAGCCCAGCCTCGCCGCCGGGTTTTGCATGAAAGGGGGCGGGGCCTGCCGCGCCGCCGGCCGCGCGGGCGAGGCGGGGGGAGGGGGGAGGAGAAGGAGGAGGGGGACGAGGGGGAGGAGGGGGAGGCGGCTCCCACAGCCAGCCTGCCAGCCACTGAGAAACCTTTGTATCCCCTCTCGCAGCAACAGGTCACCCCACACGCCTTTTCGAAGGAAGTGGGTAAACAGCACTAAGACTACGATTTTTTTCTTCCTTAAACTTAATATTGATTGACTTTTTGGTGCAGGCTGCTGAAACGAGGAAGGGGCGCGAGCAGCAGCTACGGGGTGGGGGTAGGGCAGGGCAGAGTGGGTGGTTCTGGGCGACTGTCCTACTAGGATTTCAGGAACCCGGCCGCGCTGGAGTTGGCGCGTCATTGTTCTCCCGCTCCTCCGCACACTGCCCCCCGCACCGGCCCTCTGCCGCTTCTCCCTCACCCCGCTCTGGCCCTCGGCCCTCTTCCTCCCCGGGGACCGACCCTAGCTCGCCCCCTGCTCACACTGCCCCTGTCCCGACGAGGGGTTAGGACGCGGAAAGCTCTGTCCTCAAAACCCTCCTTGCTTCTCCATAGTTTGTTCTGTGTTAAAAATGAATCCTGCTCGGCCTCTGCGGCCGACTCCAGAGCGGAGCCACGCAGGGCCTGGGGGAGCCGGCGCCCCACCTCTCCCCTGCCCCACTCGGCGCCCCGGCGCAGGGAACCACAGCGGTCCCTCTACCCCCAGCCACAGCGCCCACCCGTCTTCCTCCATTCACTCGGTGCAAAGGGGATGCTCGTCCTCTCGCGCTCTCTCCCCACTCTCCTCCTGAGCCTCCCTCCAAGAGGGATTTCAGTTGTGCGGGTTGCAAAAGGGGGCTGGGGGAAGAGAGATCAACAGAAGGGCGCTCAGAAGTGCGGGCTATGGGGGAGGGTAATCCCAACTTCCTGCCATCCCACGGCACTGCGTGGAGCTGGCTTTTGGGCCGCACTCACAAACTCCCTCCCACGCAGAGTTCCCAGGACTCCAGCAGAACCAGCCCTGGCGTTCCCCTCAGTGACTTCTCCCGCGGTGGCAGCCTGGCCGGGCCGCCAGAGTCTGGGGCTGCGCTCGGAGGGGCTCTAGGCCTAGGAGGCAGGGGTGGTGCTCGCCAGGCACAGGTGCAGCAGCGCAGGCAGGAGGAAGGCGCCCGGGCTGGACTGGGGAAGAGGGGAGCACAGCAAGGCCAGGGCTGGAGGAGGATGGGATGGGGGCGGGGGTAGGGGCTCAGGAATCCTGCCCGCCCAGGACCCAAGAGGGTAATTTTAGCCGCTCTCCCATTGTCCCGACGTAAAGATTTCAATAGGTAGGCGCTCAATGCGGAGAGGAATGGCAGCACGTCCGTTACAAATAGGTAGTTTTGTTTCTCTTGTTGTCGCTACACGGAGTCAAACAAAGCCTCGTCTAAGTTTCCTTCCACTCTCTTGTTGGGATCTTTGTGGCTAAAATGCACTTGACTACAAAGGGGGGGGAGGGTGGGGGGGGAGAAAAAAACCCTTGATGCCATTTCTTTTTTTATAAAGGGCTTAAACCATCAGGGTTACTTATTTTCTTTCTTCTGTAACACTCTCTCCGCCCCCTCCTCCCTTGATCTACCCTTACTCACCCTAAGAAAATGTACTGAATAGTATCTGTCGGCCACGTTCCATTTATTATCTTTACAAAACTGTGCATTGTTTTGTTCCTTACTAACCTTCTACCCATAACCGCCCTCCTCCCCAACCCCAGGCCCCACTCCGACTTCTCCAATCCCTGCCCTCCCAGGCTTTTCTGTTCTTGTCAAACTCGAGATAACTGTGCTCACTGGAAACCCAGAAAAGTTGTGAAAAAGAATCTTAGACTTTTCTTAATAAATTCTTGCTAATCGACCTTCCCCCGCCCGCAGGTTCTCTTTTTTCTCTTAAGTTATGGTTTGTTTTAGTTCTTGGGAACCCGGGAAGGATGAGACTGGCTTTCTCTAAAAGCATAAATATATGGCACTCTTCAAAATAAAGCAATGTCTTCTGAGTATTCGAGGTGTAATATTAAGCTAAACACGGACCGGGAGACTAGGAAAGAGAAAAGGTTGAGAGGATCTGGAGAAGAGAAGGCAGCCACGGGCTTTTCAGCGTGTCTGGTTTCAGGGATGTAGCTGGTGCGCCCCCTACTGGTAGATTCGCTTTTCCAAGACACTTGCTTTTACCTTTAAAAGAAGGTGTTTGGAAATAAAGAAAAAAAAATGAGGGGGATGGGAGGAAGATCAAACTAATTACACGTAATCTAAACAAAAGAAAAGTTAACATATCATATAAGCTATGGAATCAATCATAAGAATCAGATTTAATTTGCTTAACTTAGAAATGTACATATAACCTCGAGATAAGTGGGAGGTTAAACCATGGGGAAAAAAATAGGTACAAATTATGAGATTCAACATATGAATGAATTATGATTGTCCAGACGCCACAAAGGGCAGACAAAGCATTCACTTTATGATTGTGTATGCATTGGTCTGTGCTTAACTGCATTTTCTGAAAACTGAAAAAAAGCTTATGGATAATTAAGTTTAAAGAAAAAAAACCAAGGGATTGGTGTGGATAATGATGGTGTATATGGAGTAAAATAACTATTAATAACAGATGGTTATACAAGCAAATATTTTTAATCTCTCTCTCTCAAGGGGTAGTAGTAAGAGGAAGAAATTTTTTCCTTGGGATGATATATAAAAGCTTTTATACATTCTCAGATGCATGTGTTTGTGCCTGAACTCTATAATAATGCATTTAAGAGGTTAAAAGGGCTGCCTAGGTCTTTTGTTAATTGCTTTTATCATATAAATAATCTATGGAAATACATTACAATTGTGTTATCATTGGTTGCATTTATTTACAGCTTTATTTTAATTAAGCCTGCTGTACTTATCAAGGCAATAAACTAACTGTGGCTGGCATTTATGCATAATAATGTGCTATGAAAATAAGATTAAAGAAGATGGTGATAGCAGAAACAATTTTCTCATTAGATTTTTTAGAACATATGCATTAAAAAAATCAGATCACCGGCCACTCTATTTCAATCCAGCACCATCACTGGCCCCTAAATATAATAATAACTATAACAATCATAATAGACGACAGAAGCAGCACTGTTTTAGGTTCATAACAGACGGCTACAGTACTAATAACAATACACCATTGACTACCAGGGCATCAAAATAGGACTTGGAAGAGGGTGCTTCAGCCTCTGAGAATTTAAAATGTTGCCATTGGCACAATTTATGAAAATTGAAACTGCGTAATCTAAAGAGAGTGTAACATTTCCCTTCCACGAGCAGCCAAAAGCTGCACACTTTTAGAGCAAGATTAGAAATTATCAACAAAAATGCGTAACTCCCGGGATGTTCTGATTTGATTTTGTTCTACTACGGGCCCCAGCCCCGAATGCTTAACTGATTAAGTGGAACTCAATTTTATTGAAAAATCTCTTGCATTGATATTTCTCTCCTCAACTCCCCTCATCTGTCCTCAAGTACTATAGCTGAAGCCAACTAACAATTTTGTGCAGATAGGGGACTGTAGACTTATTTTTTCTTCTTAGTGGCAAATAGAGGTTTAACTTGCAGTAATTAGGTGAGAACTAGCCAAGCATCTTACTATTATGATGCTTGTTAAAAAACGCTTCTTTTCTGCATCTGCATTTGAGTGTGTTCCCCTCCTCTCTTAATCTTCTTATGGAAATGAAGGCAAACGGCAGGGAACCTGCAGAGTCTTGGAGAATGTCCTTGTTAACTGGAATTTCTCAGCATTGCTAATTAGCAGAGTTTGACGACCACCAGTATTGGGGGGAAAGCTCTGTTTAACCACTCACAAACCATTCCGAGGAAGAGCAGACTAATTTTATTTTGTAATTAAAATCTGAAAAGGGCCCTATTTGACAGTTAGGGCTACGAGAGTTTTATCTCCCCGTGAAATAATTACTGCCTTGATAACTCAATTTTCTGAAAAACGTCAACTGTGGGCTCCAAAAGTTTTAATTTCATTACGTAAGGAAAAAAAAGAGAGAAAAATAGAGGAAAATGTACAGAAAGGCTTTCTAATTCTGGAACTGGTTAAATATATAGGAGGCAGATTTGGCCAAAGGAAGGGTTTTTTTCTCCCTTTTTGGTCGTTTTTCCTCCAGATCCTGACCTTCCAGCCATCTCCACTGAAAGTGACCACAGCAGTGATCATACCACAGCGAAAGGGATCCTTCCAGCAGTGTGGTAAGAGGCAAATAAAGCTAAAAAGAGAAGTACGGCAACCCAAGAAAAGTTCCTGATTTTAGAAGCCAAAAATAAAGGAAAATTCCAATGTTTAGGACAATGTTGGTGCAATCTGGTAAGATGAGATTTTATTGATCTTTATCTCCTAAAACAAGAAAACTGAGAATTACAGAGTAAGGAGACTGGCATAAGCTAATTTTAAAAATATTTCCTTCTCCCCTCATCGCAAAAAATCCTCAA